ATTACACGGAAGTCACAGAAGTTTCAGTAAACCAAAATGAGAAAAGATTCATCATCTTTATAATCATGAAAGAATGCCTAAATTCCAAGTGAATGCGTCTAATCTGCCGCATCTTAAATATAATTAGCCGTATGCTTTCATCTAAGCAAGAATCACTTTTTTCATCATAGTGAAAATTTTACAGACCAGAAATAAACTCATTCTACGCACATTACTCTACAGTCTCTCAGAAATTTCATCTCATTCATTATATTTGTTTATGTAACAAAAATTCCTTGATACCTTGTGTTTTTTATTGCTCAATCTCTGCTAACGAGGAGTTTCACCTTCTTTGAACTGCTTTAAGTGACCATGATGACTACATAAGTTTACATGGATCACAAAGGTACACATACCACACGCTTATAATTCAATTTATTGTAGGCAGAATACAGGAACATCAACCAAACAATCATTACTTGCAAAGACTATATGCACTAAGAACTGTAGATATTTTTTGTCGAGGAAAAGCAATTGGAACACAAAACACATGTAGATAATTTTTTTTTAAGAATCTTGTAGTGTTTCTGAAAAATAAAAGACACAACAGAGAAAGATCTTAGCTCGTCTGAAAATATCTAATAATCGTCATCATCTTCCATATATTATACACAAATATAAAAACATATTATAAGAGAAGTGGACTGAGTGCTCTAACTATTCAACGGAAAGTAAATGACATAAGACACATGGAACACTGATTATTTGATTGTGGAATATAACACGCATGCATATTTAATACATGTATTCTATGTTATTACATAAAATATATTGAAGACGCAACTTCATATATACTTGTGTCTATGAATGTGTATACATAAATATGAAAAAGAGAGAAATCAATCTCAATGAGTATCCATCTTAAATGAAGAGAAGTTTCAACGCCATACAAAATGCAAGAGTACAGCAAATCAAATCACCATACAATATATCACGAGCAGATAAATAAATATTCAGTCGAAAAATAATAGCATTTCTCGTATCATCAAAAAACTAGATGTCATGGATGTTTTCCCCTAAATACAAAAAAAGAAAAATTCAGCATCCCACTTTCAGAGGAGATAGACATCTAGGCATTAACAAATGCTCCTTTATCTAAACCACTAGAGCATATACTCCAAGTCCCTCTCACTCTCTAGCACAAGCACTAAAGGCACTTAATAAAACATTGAGTTCAGTACCTAACACAACATCTTATCGATGTCTTGCAAATATCCTAGGAAAATGCCAATATTGTCTCAATGATTAAAAATGCAAAAACGCAGATGAGAGTATACATTTCAACATCAGTAATCAATTAGAGCATATGAGTGTGTGCTGTTATACTATCTGTATCATTTCAATCTTGCGCACACGCACATTCACTAAGCGAAGACAGAGATAATCAATTAAATAAATATGCTGTTATTAACAATTTAAAAAATAAGGACGTCTCCTTAGGCTAAAAGGAGAAATGAAATCAGAAATTGGACATGAATTGTTCTAATCATTCAGTAATTAGAAATCATACCACAGACTGAAATTCAAATTATAAACAAATTGAAGACAGCCTCATTAGAAATGAAATCAGAAAATCATTCAGCAATTAGAAATCATACCACAGCGTAAAATCAAAATTATAAACAAATTAAATACAACCTCATTAATCTAAAATTCGAAAATCAAATTAGAAATAGTAAACGAAATCTAAACACACACAATCATGAATGTATATACGCGCCCTATTTTTGCATTAAGCAGAATGTTGGAGACCTTAAGGCGTTTCTGCAGACGGAACTGTGATGCTTCCATATCCTTCACAATCTCAGAGTGTGACGAATCCAGCATGCACTTGATGGATTCCAGTTTAGTAGAAGCCAGATCCTTCAGATCAGAAATTGTGCTCACGCTTTTCAGCGATGATGCCGCGATTCCAGTAGGCTGCTTCATCTTGGAGGCGGATGCACCAGCACAGCTGTTTTTGCAACTTTTCTTCTTCGATGATGTCAGTTTGGTGGTTGAGGTTGTGAATCCATTGAGATTGAACTCAAATTGCTCCACAGGAGATTCCCGTGGTGACAAGGTGGAGCTCCTCGCTGCCGCATTGTTCAACGGTGTTGATTCGAGGAGCTCGGCCTTGGATGATCTCTTAGTTGTTCTCTTCCTCATAGCCGGGTCTCTATTTCTCTGAAATTTGTTCCTCTTTTGTCCTTTTAAGTTATAAAGAGAAGGGAAACGGGGGGATATTTATAGGGGGTACTTGTCAAAATGACCTAGTCAAAGGTCCCTAATTCCATTTTGACTTTTCAAATTGACAATAATCCCAAAATGACCCATTTGCTATAAAAAGACGAAAACACCCTTAAGTTACTAAAACAATTACAAAACATGA